TGGCCCGCTGGCCGGGGCGCAGGAATGGCTTGAGCCCGCCTGGTTACCCGTCATGGAGACAGGGTCCTTCTGGCTACTCACCAGGGACTATCACAGGCCAGGGGGCCAGATACAGAGTCAGGCCTGCGTTAGCAGGGTGTTGGCAGATTCTGTGAGACTAGTCAGAATCTCGATTCACCATGCCCTGGGCATGCCGGGCAGGGGCTTAAGTGCTTTGCTGAATCAGATCCAGCAGCATCCTAACTAAACGCTGGCTCCTCCTGAACCAATAGGAATGGTCTTGGGGCTCTCTCCCACTCTGCCACTGACCGATTGGGTGGTCGGGGGCATGTCACTTCACCTCTCTCTCTCACCTTTCTTTTTTGATTGCAGCTGTGCATCTCCCCAGCACAAGGGTGCCCCAGTTGTTAGGTGCTTCCAGAATAATTTGAGATGCCTTTGGTTTTGGGTGTCCAACTCGGGACCCTTCCTTGCAGAGGTGTTGGTCATTCTCAGCTCCAAGCGAGGGCCGAGGGGAGGCATGTACCCACCTCCTCTAAACCAGGACAGGGTGGAAATTCCAAGTCAATTCTGCAGACTGTGGCACTGGTTGGACCCCAAACTGTCAGCCATCCAAAAGGTGGGGTCATTTTTGATCTGGGGCGCTGGACATCTGCCTGTAGCTGGGTGAAGTGGCATCTGCAGAGCCAGCAGCCCCGACCACCGAGAGATCCTGGGCCTCCATCGAGAACTTTCCGTAGTCACCTCTGCTTGGCTGTATTTTTTTTTTTTTTTTAATAAATTTTTTTTTGGCATTTCCACCCTGCCCTGTGATTTCGTGAAAGCTGGAGGCTGGATATGGGACGTGGGCTGGTGGGCTGCTCCCGGGGTCCTTGGTCAGCAGTGGAGCCAGCCCTGAAATGTCACCGCTTATTTTCCATCTCCAGCCAAAGCCTTTTGAGGAGGGAAAGGCCGATCTGGGGCAGCCACAGGGACAGTCTGCAGCACACGGCGCTGCTGCTGTGGAGGATGGGAGTGGGGGGGGG